ATGTCTATTACTTCCCGTTCTGGTGACATTTCATGTTTGATTAAAAATAAATTCATTGTCATAAACAAAGCTCTCATTCGTGACATTTTAGAGCTTAAGGTGTGTGAAACACAAATTTTTCTTCACAAGGCACATCTCACGTTAGACGGATATGACCTTACCGAAGCTTGTCGTCGTGTCATCGAGAAATTTTTTGAAAATATCACAAAAATTAGTGCAAATCAATTGACTCGTCCAGGCAAGGTTTTACGAAATATCATTACAAATATTATCATACCACGAAAGGGTCATCGGGATGAAGTGAGTTCGTTTGATCTCTTTCTTCTCAACTCTTTTCTTGTCGATATGAAACTTGATTTTTCCACCATTACATTAAAACTCATAAAGCTTGTCAATTCCTCACGATACGTTAAAACTTTACCATATTGCATGCTTCTCATGAAAAATTTTAAACACCTTAACGCTTCGTTGGATGATGAGACATTTATCTAACTTCGACCCACCGACACTATAAACATTCAAACTCTTAAATGTATGAAAATTACTAAAGAACATGGTCAGTAGGTGGCACATACCAAGGGGTTCGACCCCACCTCAGGTCCTTCGACTCTACCATTTGAAGGAGATGACGATGGTGACGATGATGACGTATCGAAAGCTCATATTCCTCCTTACGACATTCCGGGCTCTAGTATCCCTCGATCTTCGAGCAGTGGCTTCACGTTTATCGAGAATCAATACAACATGTTGAATGGCCGCATTGACTTCCTCACATTCTCGGTTGATGGCCTCGACGGGATGTTCCATCATATGCAAGCTCAACAGGCCGTCATACTAGCTCAACAAGAAGTCATTCAAGTACAAGAGGCAGTGATGCAAGCTCAGCAGAATGCCTTCTACGCCCATTTATATGACCACTTTTCTCCTCCGCCTCCTTTGGAGCTGTAGTCGTTATTTTTCTTCATGATGGATATTACCTTATTTGCTTTACGATGGATAATTCTTCTTGCTTCATGATTAATGTTTCTTTATGATTTGGTTTGCTTCAAGATGAATATATCCCTATGATTGCAATTTTATGCGGTTTGCTTTAGATAATGCTTTATATTTCATTCTTTTTGCCTATGGTTGTCTTAATTCCCTAGTAGTATTCTTTTTGCTTATGCCAAAGGGGGAAAATATATGTATGATGATATGCATACTTGACTTGTATAAGAAATGGGGAACAATATCATATGAATGCTCGATCTACAAAAGATAGGGAGAATGGTATAGCAATGTACGAATCATATGAGATAAAATATTTTTCTTATTGCAAATCATCGTTTGTTTGTCATAATCAAAATAGGGAAAATTGTTGACCTATGATCAATCTTATTTTTTGATTATAACAAACAAAGTATTTTCATCTCTAACATTTGTATACAAGTCTTCATTGTTACATGTTACGAACTTGATCAAATTGGAGACAAAACAATTGCTACCAAAAGATGTGAAGGTGACGATCAAGAAAGTTCAAGATGGAAATAAAGCATTCACAATCAAGCATTCTCAAATCGAGCACTTGCACCAAATTCAAAATCGAGCAACAAATCGTGCACTCATGACAAATCAATCGAAAATATTAGAACTATATGTTTGATCTCACGTGTAAAGGTAAAATACTTTAATACTTAGCAATGACTCATTGAAAGCTCAAGTGACGAATTTTTACGCACGATAAAATTTACTTCGTAAAATGTTTGCACAATTTTTGTTTTTCAAAGATAAGAGTTTCAACGTAATTTTCAATCAAATTAGCATCACTTAGGACATTTATGTCCATCCGAACATCCGGATGTGAACCGGACATCCGGTTTACCTCCAACGGTCGAGTTTTCGACCGTTCTGATTTTTGACGAAGTAACGGCTATTTAGTCGTCCGGTACTGTTCCGAATGTCCGGATGATCGTCCGATTTGGCAAAGAATTTCACGTTTTCAACTGTTATAAATATCAACTCAGTTGTCATTCATTAATATAATTTAAGAGCATTCAAATTAGATTCTTTTGAGTAAAATTGTATTGATTTTTCATATCATTTATTATTATCAAATCATTTTAGTTTTGAAATTTTGTTTATCAAATTAACTTTTGAAAATCATTCTAAATATCAAAGTTTTTCGTATCTAACAATTGAGCTTCATTCATTGCCATTTATTAAAGTATTAGCGTATTTCTAACTTGGTACTTAATTGTGATTATATCATTTATTAAGAGAGAAGTTTCAATTCGTAAAATCAATTTTCTTTAAACTTGTGGGTCATGTTGAGGTTCCGTAAAGCTCAATGTTGTATAATGATAGGTACTCCTTGTTTGTAAGTCAGTGAAAACTTTATAAATGGTTGGATTGCACCACAAGTTAACCAACATAGTGAAATTGGCATTGCTCGTATCGGAGAGCTCGATAACGGAGGACATAGATCATTGTGTCGGATCAAATCTCCATAATTATATCGTTTGCATTCTCTATCTCTCTTTACTTATTACTTTCATATTCGTGCTTATTATTTGAATGAATCCATCTAATTATTACGTGCTTGATTTTAGATTAATTTTTCTAAAAAGTTTTAAAAATCAATTTACCCCATCTTGGTTAGCTATTATTGGACTATCAAAAGGAAGATTGAGGAAGTTTGTTGAGACTACGTTTTTGAATTTCCAGCTAATGGAGAGCACACGAAAAGGAATGAGATGGTTATTTTTATAATTAATAATTAATGTAAATAAATGAGGGGGGAGATGCATGGCTACTTTCTGTTAGTATATACACTATGTAATAAACATAATTAAGATCATTATAGTTATAAAAATCAACATTTCTCATTTAAGATATGTTGTCAATGAAAGCAATTTTGGAAAATGGCTTAGATATTGTTTATGTGTGTGAATGTATTCATGTTGGGTATTGGAGTTTTGGAGAAATCGATTTGCGTGAGATAAATTCTATATAAAAAAACAAGGTTGTTTTAGTTTTTAACGAAATTTTTGACTATGCTAAAAAGATAATGTAGTTCTTTTTTCTTCTATTTTTTTTTAAAATTCTTTTAATAATATCCATCTAAATAATGAACATAAGTTACTTATAAGTTGACAAGTTTTGTGAAGTTTTTTTTTCGATTAGTTAAGCTTGGTTTGCATCCGTTTGGGACGTCCCAAGCACATGGCAGTCCAACAGTATTGTTGTCTCATCATATTCTTGCAAATATGCACTAACTTTTTTTTATTCATATTTGTGAACTTGTGGAGCCATCTTTGGCTAGATATCTATATGCAGATTTCTTTCCACCAATGTGACTCATCTTTAGCTTGACGATTTATATTTTTAATATTTCTAATTTTATGGTTTTTATTTAGTTTTTTTTATTATTTATTAAAATTTGATTTAATAATTACTTTTATGTGAGATGATGGGACATTAGCATATGTGTAATTATATCAAGCTTTGGAAATTAGGTGTTTTTTGAAACGTGAACAACAACCACTCTATATTGGTCGTTGACTAATTTATACATTAAATAAAATCATTTGAGAATTTTTTTTCATATTTACCCAATTTTCAGTATTAAACAAATTTTGAAGTGTTAATTGTAATTGTCATATGTCGTTGTATCATACTGGTATCTGGGTACAATCACATTATTGATAAAGACATGTGTTGTATGATATTATATTTGTATGATATGTCTTATATTTGCTATATAATTTTTTTCAATATTGATAATTAAATTATTAAACTAACATATCAATCACTTTTTTATAATAGAAACAACACATAGGGGTACATTATCGTCGAAAACACTAACAGAAACGAAATCTAATTCATCAATAGATCAACAAAATGAGTCAAGTCGTCGGTGTAATTTGAAAAATATTAACTTTTTTCCATTTATGATGGTCGACTTAACGTTCTAACAAATTTGTTAATGTATACTTTTGTTGTCATGTTTTAAATTTGTTTTCATATTTGTAAGATTGATGTCACCAAACAAAGATTGCAACTATATCTTTATAAGGCAGCTGAATGTATTTGAAGAGTGGATTATAAAAGTATCTATACTTCGAAAATGTTCTATTGAGATCTACATCAATAAGAACGACCATATTGACATAATGTTTTTAGTGAAATAATTTTCAAACTACGTTTTTCAAGAATACAATCGAAAAGTTATTTCTCATGCTTGAGAAAGAAAAACATAATGATTTCAAAATAGAAAAATAAGAACAATCAATCCTTATTCGACATTTCCACATTATATACATAATTTTATAAAAAAATATTATATATCTTCTATATATTAAAAGTGGCTATGTAACGGAATTTATTGTTTTTAACGGAAAAACTAACGGAATTTGTTGTNATATAAAGTAATAATCTCCTAGCACCGTGTTTAGGTGACACATTGCATTAATAGATAGTTTGTTTGCCATTTAAACACGTGCTTAGCATAAATTAAGTATCGTACTTAGGAGATCAAATTCATATATATTTAATTGTTTAAAGTGAGATTTATTTATTTTTGAGAAATCATGTGACTCTGCTATTTTTTACCTTTTTTTGTTGTTTTATTTTTTTATTAATTTAAAGAGAAGGAAAATTCACCATTCAATAACCAAAATATATGAAACTACGAATTTTGTAACATAAGTGAATGGGTTATGGATGAATTATGTTTAAAAAAGATTGAGAGTAAATTTATTACAATTCACATAGTGTATGGACTAAAATGCAAATTTCCGTATTTTATATTAAGGGCTTGTTTGGGAAGGATTAAAATCGAATGCCTGTCTTCTCCGTTGGAACATAAATTGTCCTGAAAAAAGCCAAAATCCTGTTCCTTTTTCAATTTCCAGCGGAGAAGAATTTTAATCCAATTCAACCGAAAAAAATCAAAGCATCCTCTGTTGATACTATTACAGTCATCTACAGATCTGATCCGTTAATCCGCTCAAAATCCTGCCATGTATTCATCAGTTTTCAGGGGTAAGAAATTCTCCGTTTGATAATTCTTCAATTTTTCAGGCGTTAAATCTCGTGATGAGTGGTATGCGATTTATTCAATTCTTTATTCGAAGTTGCATTGCTTAGGGTTTAAGATTTTTTCTACGGATAATCTATGTTGGTCTCAGTTTTAAAGATTGGTAAATTTTCTTTAAGAAATCTATTACTCTAATATTTCATGCGCAAAAAAATTGTTTCAGATGTCCATACAATCAAACCGTTTAGCTGCCTTTTTAATTAATAATTATAGATTAACCCCTCTGCTCTTAACGGGTCAAATTAGTAAAAGGTTGATTTTTTTGCTCATTTATTCTTACAGAATTGAATTAATTGGATTTCTTTGAAACGGTGGAGGATTTAAAAGTTTTGTTTCTATGTTGATTACATGGTTTATCCGGCCTATTTTTCTGGTCCTGTGAAGTTATTGAATGTAGAAATTTGAAGGGAATCAATAGGATAAGAATAGGAAGTTTCAGTTTCCTTATGATCTTTCTTTTGTTTTAAATTGTTGGTTTGCAGATATGCAGGGCCAAGTGGTGTGCAGTAGGTGTAGGACTGTCCTCCTCTATCCCAGAGGAGCTTCAAATGTTTGCTGTGCATTGTGTAATGCAGTTACTGCTGTTCCACAACCTGGTATTATCCACTTCTCTTTTTCTGATGTGCTATTTTATATCTATTTTATATCTGAAAGTTAGGAACATTCTGAACAATTGCATTTTAGTGTTTTCTGTTGTCAGTCATTGCATGAATGGATAAGATTAAGTAAGAAAATAAATCAAGATAAAAGGAGAAGTTTGAGAATTATATCTGGTTCTTTTAAATTTCAGTGTTGCGGATTTGGTTTGCTACAGTTTTTTATATCTTCCTGGATTTATTTCATGTATTTAATGTTTGTTACCCCGTTTATGTGAAGTTGAAGTTTTTTAAGAAGATTTAGGTAGAGAATCTACCTGTAGGCCTTGTATCTTGTTCTAGGCTAACTCATGTTGTTTTTATCTTTATCCATCTATTTCTAGTCTGGATGTACATTGTTTGCAGTTGGAGATGAACTTCTTTATCCATATTCCTTGATTTCATGCCTTCATTTTGCACTTTTTTTGTAGAATTTTATTCATATTATATTTTTTCTCCGTTTCTAGTCAAGCCAGCTTGTTCGAAATTTAGCCGAATGCTTGCAGGCATTATTCCATATTCCTTCCCTTCTGTTTCATTGCTTTCACTGATACAGCCAACAATTTCTGTGCGTATTAAAATATGTTTTCAGAATCCAAAATAATCCATCCTCATTGCTACTATGAGGTAAATCAAGTTTCTGCTCAGAGCATTGACATAGGAAGCCTTTTTCCCTTACTGAATGTTTGTTTGGGAGAGATTATTTAGAGATTATTTAAAGAGAAAATGATTTTTTTTTTAAAAATGTGTGGTTAAAAGTATGGAAAAGATATGGGTCCACATGCAAAATTATTTTAGTGGCAGAATATGTGGTTGAAAATAAGTTTGAGAAAAAATGGTTTTCAAATAATCTGTGCCAAACACAATTGAATAAATGAACGGGTCAAGAGAGATTGGCATCTGAGTTGTTTTGCCTATATTCTGAGTTTGGCGTCTCAAGAACCTTTGAGGAGTAAAGGCTTAATTTATCATGTGTACTAGTAGTTATATTTTCTTGGAGGTGGACAGTGATTTCTAAGCCAGCAGGTATTTGAGACCCTTGCATGTTTATTACATATTTTGTGCTGTTTTTCTGGTCATCGGCATATTCCTGAAGTTTCATGACAACTTTTAGGAATGGAAATGACTCAATTGATATGTGGAGGTTGTCGTACCTTACTTATGCATGCACGAGGGGCTAACAGTGTCAGATGCTCCTGCTGTCAAACAGTGAACCTTGTGCCTGGTACTAAAGTCTGGAGAGCGTATTTATTACATAGTCTCAATCTATGTATCTTATTAATCTTTCCCACTTTCAGAATTGTATTGATATGCTCTTTAAAAAAGTTTTGAAAAAATTATGGATTGCGCCCTAAATATCCTCTACCCTACTTTCCCTGGTTTAGTACTTGGATTGTTCCTGTCTTGAGTGACTTCAGTTATTCTTTTATCTTCAACTCATTACCACTGAATGATGGATGTGCAGCACCTAATCATGTTGCTCATGTAAACTGTGGAAACTGTCAAACCACGTTGATGTATCCAGCTGGAGCTCCATCAGTTAAATGTGCAATTTGTCAGTACATCACCACTGTCAATGTTAGTACCTGGGTATTTACTTTATGCAACAATACCCTTGCTCACAAAAATGCTCTAAAAATAGTCCCTACGGCTTACAACAGTTATTTTGTTCTCCTTTTCTGTAGGCTCATCTTTGAATGCTTCCATCAATTTATCTGTATATTTGTGTCATTGTTATGTTTCCACTGCATATATGAACTATATCCTTTTAAGTTTTTGTTTGTGTAACTCTTGAGGTGCCAAATGCTGCAAATTACGTAATATTATTTTTGAGTCTAATCATGATGTATAGCTAATATTTTTATGCTGTTCCTAACTTGTTTCTTCTTTTGCAGATGGGTGAATCAAGAGTTCCAATTCCTGTGCAAAGACCTGATGGAAACTCTGCATCTGCATCAATACCCTCTACCTCCCCAGTGAGTTGGTCGATTTGTATCATATAGTCACTGAAATTGCCATTATCTGATGTGGCATTCAATGATTTGAACTGCTCTATCTGATGCAGGCTGCATCCCATGCTCAGAATCAAACAGTTGTCGTTCAGAATCCTAGTTCGGTTGATGAAAGTGGCAAGTTGGTGAGTTACTTCACATCTCCCACTAGTTTTTGCCTCCATGCATTTCTGTATGTTTGCTGTTACTGTTCCTATTTTGCTGTTTAAAACTCAGAAGACGAATTAGCCTGATGTAATTGTAATTTGTCAGGTTAGCAACGTTGTTGTTGGCATTACAACATAAGAATGTTATCGGAATGTATTGCATCCAGTACTATATTTGGGAATAAATGGCTATTTCAGGAACTGGGCTTCGACCCGGTAAATAGAGATATTTTATGCATATCATTGGCAAAGATAAGTATTGTAAGCACAAAATTTCTGGTTGTAAAGTTTTAGAAGAGACTTGACTTCTGTTGTACCATACGAGTAATAACAAGTGGAAGTGTTGATATTTTAGTTATTTGTGGTGTTATGCTACTGAATAATTGTGCTTCCTATGTATGCTATGTAAAAGTGTTTGTGAAAAATTGCCAACTATATATCAGCCTTTTAATTTTTTTTATTCGGGTCGTGTTTATGTTGGATTCGTTGGGATGCTCGTGAAGTTTGTTATGTCTGCTCCAAAAGGTAAGTTGCGTTGGAATTGATAAAGTTCCGTGGAGTTCATAATTGCAAGACAGAAGTCAAAGTAATGGCTGTGTCACGTTGAGGCACTTCTTCGAAGGTCCTGTACGCCTAACCTTCTCGCCTGCTCTGAAGAATTCATAGGTCGGCAGGCCATGCTAGAGTTCAATTCACCCTAATGTGTCATGACTCTCACCACAGCCAATGCATTCTAGAATGTTCTGTGACTATCTATAAATTTAGCACATGGGGAGGATGAAAAGGAAGTGGAAAGTTGATGCAAAACAGAATTTTCCCCTCCTCTCTCCCTATCTCTGAATTCTTCCTCTTCGGCCTTCTCTTATCTGTCTTTGCTCTTCTTCTTTGTTATTCTGAATTCTCTTCTTCTCTTCTTCTTCTCTAATTTTGTCTACTACTCTCTGTTTTATGTTTATCTTTGTTGGTTTGTGTATATTTCAGTTCAATCAATGAAATCTCAGCTGGGTTATTGAATCCCGGTTTAGTATATTAAATTGTTTGTATTGATTTTGATTGGAGTTTAGTTGGCTTTGGTTGAAGTTGAGCTTCAGCCATAACATAATTCAGTGTAAATTTTTCGATGGGAAACCCTGAAAAATTGATAACAAAAAATTTCACCAGTAATCAAGAATTCGAAATTAACATCAACAATGAATTGATCAATTTTCTTGAACTTGCTAGATTTCAACCACATCATCCAATACAGAAAGAATAGAAGTACAATATCAAGATCAATGAAGCCATCAAGAAACAGAGGACACTATAACTCACTTTTTCCTTTACAAATTCTAACCGTGACTATCAAACAAATCAATCTGTGGAAATTTCAAAGAATCTTGGATGCAAAAACAACCAAAAAAACTATGACGAACACATTGCACAATCGTGTCACGCCAAAACTCACGTCGATAATAGTTTCTTCCTCCGGTTTCGCGTCATTTGGAGATGGTGGCACGATGATAGTTCCTTCCACCGGTTTTGTGTCTTTTGGCGACGTGGGCACAAGGATTGGTGTAGGCATATGCGTCAATGCTGCTGTCTTGTCTGGCGGCGGTGCTGTAAAGAGGCCGTTGTCATTGCCGCCATAGACATTGTAATCAAGAACGTTGTTGATTCCATGCACTGAAAAAGCAGCGTTCACAAGAATATCTGGATGGGTGACTAGGGCGTCATCGAGGGTGAAATTGAATCGCGAATTGTTGGTAATGACAATGAACTTGGAAGGGAAGAGCGTGGGGAGGCGCGTAAGGATGGGGGACTGTTGTAGATTAGAGAAAGAGAGGCGCTGTGGGACTATGTAGCAAGGTACAATAAAAGGGTCGAAGTTCATTCCAGCGACGTTGGCGGCTGGGACGCGGGAGATAGCATCGTTGCTCGGAACGAAGAGGGTGGCGGTGAGCGGCAGAGATGATGGGTTGGCGGAGGAGAGCAATTTGATCCATCCCGCAAAGTCTCCGGCCCTAATGAGGGCGTCGATTATGTTGTTCAGCTCTTGTTTTTGAATCTCCGCCTGTGGCGGCGGCAGAAAATAACTAGTGTGTGGCAAACGTTGGTGTGGTAGTGAGATTGGGGATGGAAAGGGTGGTGGTTTTGCGGCGGAGATGAGGTGGAGCTCGGTGGTGGCGCCCATGATTGCCACCAGGAGAATTGGGAAAAGAAAGGAGGAATTATCCATCAGTTTGTTGGTGAATTTTGATCAAAATACAGATTCTGAGATTACGAATCTTTATATATTTCGGTTGAATTTTGAATTCTGAGAGGGAAAATTAACGAACTTCGTTTCTTGAACTCTGAATTTACTTCTAACTTTGATAACCCGCTTAATTTTGAACGTGCGCCTATTACCAACTTGCTCTGCAATAATAGAGGCTGAGCATTTTAATCCCCAATCTTCTATTTTAGTCCAAATTCGAATTGGCTTATTGTCCCCCGGAACAAAAACCCACACTCGCTTTTACGCCAATACATAGCGAGGTGAACTAACTTCATTATTTCGTCTTCGACCCCATCCAATAGGCTACGATCATGACACAGTCCTAGCATAACATAGAATGGTTGACTATTGTGGAATAGTCCCACTCATGATAAGATAAAATAGTCACTCCTCCAGTCCTCCTAGAGGTGGCCGAACTCACTATCCACATTTTGTTTTGAAGAGAACTAGATATTTATAATCGAAAGTAGGTGTGGGCATGGTTCAGATTGGTTTGGTTTTGAGTCCAACCCATAACCGAAATCGACTTAGTCGGTTTGGATAAATTACAACCCAAACCGACACAATCCAAATCGGTTTTGGTTGGTTTGATTTGGTTAATCGAATTAGACATTGGTGCGAGTTAAAAAAGATTGCGTATCTATTTTGAGTTTAAAAATTTGTCTTTCTATATATATATTTGCTTGCGTATCAATAATATATATAATATAAATGGTAGTGGGTTGATTTTTTCAAAATTATCGTTTATATCCGATAGTTACCAACAAACTATTATATCAAAAATGAAAAGCAATGATACAATCTAAATTTTGAGTTTATAATAAACACTTCTTCTTGCTTTCTTTTATTTTGAAACTTGGAGTTTTTATAGAAAAACGTAGACGGTAAATAAATTATTTAAGAAAAAATTATATTTTTATTTTTTAAAAGTTTAAGAAAATGAATTTTAAAATGGGTTGGATCGGTTAATTGATGGGTTGGTTGCTTAAATTGCAACCAACCCAACTCGACTTTATAATGGTTAAAATTAACCGAACCAAACCAAACCAATTTTTTGGTTCAAACCAACCCGACTCGGTTTAATCGATTTTTTTATTTTTTTTGCCCACCCCTAATCAAAAGATCTAATAAGATTTCAAGATCAACACGTTGTCCCTCTGCCTCACCATCCTCCTTTCCTACCTCCCATTCATAATCTTTTGAGTGTATTTCGACTCAAATAAAAAATGAAGAAATGAAAAGACTGGTGCATTTACACTATTAGAAAAGGGTGTACCTTCCGACCGCAATACCTAAATCTCATTGAGGGCTCGTTTGGCATGGCTTTAGAAAGCAAAAATGAGCTTTTGATATTCAAAAACTCCCATAAAAGTTTTAAAAGGGGATTTCAAAGAATACCCTAAAAGTTTGGACCATTTTGAAACATCGGTACATAAGTTTATCTACGCATTAATTGCTTTAAAACCGCATTAATTATGGCGTAACCATGTAAAGAAATAATAAAAAAATCTTCAAAAATCTACTAATTCAGAGTAGAAATTGACATCTTCCATATTATTGTCAAAAAAAATTCGTGCTATTCTTTTTTAAATCCTCCAAACGTAAGCATTCATATATGGTTTTTCAACTTTGGCGTAAAATTTGAATTCCTGTTACTAAGAAGATGTTGAAAGCACTTTCTGAATTCAACCATGCTACATGTATATGGTCCTTGACATGAAGTATTACATTGTTCCATGTGTTGCGGCATGATTGGCCAGTTTGAAAATAAAAAACAGTTTACCGCCCATTCACTTTTGAATTTGTAGAGGTATGTCAAACATCATGTACAAAATCAATGTACAAATGATTTAATCCTTCAGAATTTGGTGTAGGCATGGAAGATAAGAGTAAGCTCCAGATGGTATTTGCATGACTAAAGCAGGTATATTACAACCTGGTCCTTATTCACCCACGAAGTTTTTCCTTTGGTGTTCAAATGTAATAGGAACCAGAATTGATAGAAAAATTGTGATATCATAACCTTAGGGCCATTTAATTTGGTTTGTGTTTCAATTTTCAGTTTTAAGTTTTGAGTTTATTTTCAATTTTCTATTTTGAATGTCTGTTTTAAAATTGCTACACACACGTTTGGTTTGAAATTTTAAATAATTATTTTAGGACATTATATTTGATTAATCAGTAAAAACAGAACAATTTTATGTTACTATATTATCTAGTAATATATATTTAAAAGTTGGTGAATCGTACAATATTTGTTTCTCACTACAATAATAAATAATAAATTGAGTTCAAAATATAGAAAATAAAATTAAAAATTAATGACGTGAACTAATAATATTTTTATTTGTATTCATTTAAATAATTTTTTTATAGAAATTTTAAGTAAATAATCATTGAGAGTTCGAACTATTTTTATTTTTTATAATTATTATTTTTCTAGAATTTTTTAAAGTTTTATTTTTTCAGAATTTTTATATTTTATTTTTTATTTTTTAAAAATTATTTTTTAGAATTTTAAAAAAAAAACAATTTAATTAAAATTTTAGTTAAACGTTTGTTTTTCATGTTTTCAGTATTTTTATAATTTTCACTTAAAACGCTCAAAACGTCAAAAATACGTTTTGAGTTTTATGTTATAATTTTAAATTTATTTTCGAAAATACATTTTCAAAAATATCATATCAAACATGTTTTCAGTATTTTGCAAAATTGAAAACACCTCGAAAACAACAAACCAAACTCACCCTTAATTTTTATGAGTTTTGATAATTTAAGGAAACAAAGTTATGAATTTCTCAAGAGAACTGATATTGGAAAATCTACGTAGATTGAATTTTTATGAGTTTTGATAATTTTAGTTTTGAAATATTTGAATTGTTCCAAAATGCGTTGTATGATACTTGGCTGCATTGCCAATTTGTTGAATGAAACGTGGCTGCATTTGGCTTCGTAATAGAATTTTTTTTTTTTTTTTT